CTTAAAATTTCATGACTGCTATGCCCAAGACAGCCTCCAACTATGACATCACCCACAAGTCCTTCTCTGTTCACAAACAACTGGTCCAGCAAGGCACCTTCCCTAGCTGGCTCCCTCACCAGCTGTGTGAGGAAGTTAGCTTCCGCATGGTCCAGGAACCTCTTGATCTGTTTCCTCAGTGCAGCATTGTATTTCCATCAGACATCTGCTAAGTTGAAGTGCCCCACAAGAATAAAGGCTAGTGATTGTGAGACTTTTCCCAGCTGCTTGTAGAATATTTCATCTGCCTCTTTGTCCTGATTGAGTCTTCTGTAACAGACTCCTACCATGATATCTACCTGTTGGCTTTCCTCCTGATTCTTGCCCATAAGCACTCAACCCTGTTGCTGCCATCATTAATCTCTTAGACAGTCAAGATGCTCCCTAACATACAGTTCTTTCCTACTGCCTCTCCTTCCTTGGCTATCTCTTCTGAAGAGTTTAGTCATTCAGTGCAGCACTCCAGTTGTGTGAGTCATCCCACCATGTTTTGCCATGTCACCTTCCATTTACTACATGATTTTTTTTTTTTGGCAGTTCTCCTAACATGTAGTCTGAGTAATTCAAACATATTTATTGAACACATCTTTACAGTCTTAGTTATGACCACCTGGAAGGTATGGGAAGGGAAGGAGAAAGGTGGCTTGACAAGGTATTGAATTGGGATCAACTATGAGGGTAAAGTAACTTTTTCCTCTCAGAAACATTATGGAGATACAGCTTTTGGAAAAACAATAGCCAATATATAAGTAAACTTGATTGACCTCAATTCATATTGTAAAATTGTTGAATTTCACTGTCTGCCCAAAGTAAACTTAGGCCAAGCTTGTATTAAAAATTCTAATTCAGTATCTTGTGATTTCTTCTGGGCATGGTGCAACACAGAATGTAGGTAGCTTCCACAGTGAGGGGTACGGCTTAGCTGTTGACTAGTTTCTGCATGGAAGAGGCTTTATAATACATAACTATGCTACTGCTAAAGAGTCGATGATAAATGGCTGTATTTGGTCATGCAGTGAGGAAGAGTCCTTGTGCATTTCTTGAATACCTCTTAAGTCTGGGAAGCTTCAATGGAATGTCTCAGTTTGATCATTATTCTGTTTTACTCATAACAAAGAACGTACAGCCTATTCTATTCAAAGATGGCAACGTGCACTTTATAATGTAATAGTATCTGTCACATTTTAAAATCCTAAGTAGTTTGCGGATACTTAGTAGCTTAGTAAGTGATAAAAATGTAACAGAAAACTTAAAGCTCTATGAGCATGTAGACAGTAGTTTCTCATTAAGAGGTAAAGTTGTGAAGGCAGTCTAAAGACTTATTATGAATTTAATAATCCCGCTTTAATAACCTTTAAATCTGAGTAAACTTCTAGAGACACATAACATACTGGAAATAATGCACAAAGTAACACTTTCTGAAGTGCTCTGTGGTGGTAATGACTCTTACCTTTACAGGTTTGGCATCTAAGCCTGGTCCATGCATCATGGCCAATGTCACTACAAGGAAGCAATGGGTAACAGTAAATGCAGGCTCCCAGGGGGGTGAAGGCTTCTGCAAAGCAGCCAGACTGGCTGTCTTTAAAGCTCTGCATAAAGTGTAAATGCTGTCCTTGACTTTTTCCTTTGTCCTTTCTTCAAAGACAGTACCCATCCGCTGCAGTTCTCCAGCTGTGTGAACTGTCTCACCCAAGTGCCTACACCCAGTAAGGCTGTTAGGCGCTCTTGTGCTTGCTTCCTGTGCTGTATGTGTTCATATACAGCTACTTAAGATGTCTCCTTGTATGCTTCTCTTTAGTGGGACAGCAAGATCCTGGCTGCTGTGTTGTCCTGTACATTTACACTCTCTGCTATTCTCCTACTTTGTAGGCTTCAGTCTCCATTTCCCTGGCAAACCTAGTTTGAAGCCCTGCTTATGAGGGAAACCTGTTGGCAATGAAGACTTGCATTATCGAATGGATCCTATCAAATATCCATTATCAGATTAATAGCCCTGAATGAGAAAAGCAGCAGCTTTTGTAGAAAGTGGTTGTGGGATGGGATGAGGAGAAGTTAATGTAGGTAAAAGAACTGTTCATAACTTTTTCCAGCTTGCTTTCCTGAACACTCTTAACTGAGTTAAGAGACTAGCTGCATCATGAATCAGGGCTTAAGTAACAGGTATTTTGGAATCAAGGAGGCAATAATCCACCAAGAGGCACACAAAAAATTGCAAAATTAATTTAAAGCAGATTTTTTTTTATTATTGGGGAATCACAAGGTACAAGCAAAGTATATTTCTGACTGATATCTGTAGGCTCTTCAGATTCTGAGAAGTTCCAAAATTACTACTATGATTTGCTTATGTGTACTGTCTGAGAAAGTAAAACAAAGGTTTATTGAAATGTCTGCATTGAGGTGGTTATGCATTATGAAACAGTGCCAGCACATATTCATCAGTAGCTATACTAGAAGCTAAGATGTATCTTCCTGTTTAGGCTAAATTAAAATGGTATCAATCCTGCTGAGCAGAACGACTTTCTAGGAAACTGCACAAAATGGTAGTACAAATATTTTCTGGGAAAACTTTAGACTAAGAGCTGGAAAAAGATTATCTTGATGTTGTTAGGTTCTAAAAGTAAACTTCCTTTTTAAAAAAAAAAATAAAAAATCCAGTATCCAAAGTTGAGGAAATAATAACATTGAGTAAGTCTAAATTGTGGCTCCATGGGTAAATTCTGGAAGGACTTGTAAGAGAAGCATCACTTTTGATAGGCGGGATGGAACTAAGTTTGGTGAAGTAGCAGAGAAGTGGGCTGGTGTGTACTTTGCTCAGGGGGGAAAAAAAAAACCCACAGTGGGCTAATTGCCATCTTTAATACAAAGTGTGTGGAAGTCTGTTTGTAAACTGTGTTCTTCCTTACAAGTGCAGAAAAAGCAGCAGTCTGTTGTTTTCACATAGGCAGGAGCAGGCGGTTGGGCAAGCAGGTTTATGTAAGTACAAAAGTAAAGGCAGAAACCAGTAACACCCTCAACACCCGGGACAGAGGGGGCATGAGTTAGGTGTTCAAAAACCAAGAAGGTTTTGGGTGCTGACTGGAAATGGTACACAAGCTTCCTGTTGTTTGATTTACGAAGTGCTAAGAAATAGAGTTAGTGTTTGTCCTTTTGAAATAAGTACAAGTGTCTCCAAGAGACACTTCATTCATGTCTTTAGCCGGTGACAATAACTTGCAAAAACTTAAGTGCTGGCTAGCTGCTGAGCTAAGTGGTTTGCAGTTTATAACATTAATGATCAAAATAATACGTATAGAGTGTGTTTATATTTTCAGACCGTTGTGTTTGAGGAATTGCTCTCTTAATTTCAGATTTCATCTCTCTTTTTTTTTGTCCATAACCCTTTGAAGCCAGAGGAAATGGGAATTTGTGCAATGCTAATACGATGTGAATTTGTATTACATTGAATATAAGAGCTGATGGGTAATACTTTAAGTGTATGCTTAATTTTTAGTGTATGGTTGGGCTTCAGATTTGTGCTTTGTAGCTTTTGTAGATAGTGTTTAAAAATTGTGTGCATGTTAATTTGTGAGAAGACAGTATTTTATTTACTTGGTTGTGTTCTTGCCTAGAACTATATTTATTACACAGAAAAGTGGAAAATTAAAATAGAAATAAATATATTTATAGCTCAAATCATAGATTTAAAGTAAATATAATTATAATTGATTGAATTTCATACTAATAATAATTCCTACATTAAAATTATAAAATAATGCAAAATTGAAAAGTAAATTTTAAGTAAACGTGACCTGTCAAGCTGAATAGCTCCTGTGTTAAGATAGCTTCTCTTGTCTACATTAAGATTTCAATATGTTAAACATGCTGCTTAACATATAATGCATACTTTTTCTTCTTTATAGTAGTATACATACAATCTAAAACAAAAAGTAAATGTCATTTTTGATGAGAAAGCAGTATATTATGTTGTCTTAGAGGGCATCACAGCTGATGAGCAAATTTTGGGATTCTGAATGTTTGTGGTTGATGGTAGCTAGTTGTTTCCTGAATTGATAACTTATGTGGTGTGACGATAAAGTAGTCTAGCAAAGTACTAGAAAATAGCTACATCTTTAATATAGACTAATCTTGAGTATGAAGAGTGAGAACCTTCAAATGCTGCTTTGAATTATCCTCTTAGTTGGAAAGAAGCTTATTATTTGGAAAGAGAAAAGAGGGGGCACTGGGAAACAATTTCTGTATTGAACAAAACGTGTTATATTGGTGATTACGTAAATTCTCACTATTTTGCACCAGCTTTCATGCATCTCTTCTGTATTTTAGTTGGGTTGTTTTGAGGTTTTTTGGCTGGTTTGGTTTTTTTCATTTAGTTTTCTCTGTGTCTCTTCTCCCTTGCTGCAGTATGTGATTTTACCAAATACCTAAACAGACTAGCTGGTAAATCTAGAAAATAATTGGATTTATCTAATCCCCAATTTTAAAACGTTTTTGTAGATACAGAGGACTAGAGAGAGCTTTTATGGTATCAGAATAAAATAAGTCTATTCAGATCATGTAATTCCAGGTGATCGTAAATAAAAAGTTTATTTTTTAAAGTTTTGTTCTTTTTTCTTTTTTTTTTTCTTCCACCCCCCTGTACACCTCCCATGATTCTAATTCTCAGTGTAAGAGAGAGACTACTTCACTTGTGTGGAGCTATGAGGCTAATCCTCCCACCTTTAAGATTCTGTGGTAGTTATTTTAAGTCTAATGAGGTTGTTGGGGCATGGCTTAATAGGCTGATTGTGTGCAGATGGCAGTTGCCTTATTGTATTTTTATCTACGAATAGTACTACAGTGGAAGGAGTAAATACTTGTGCGATAAATGTAACAATTTTTGTAATTGCTCTCAGAATTTCAGAATACTTGCTGCCAGTGTTCTCAAATCTGCTTCCTTTTAAGAAACTTTGGATTTACTATTTTAAATGTTTCTTTTGTCTCCAGGTTTTGAAAGTATTTTAGAAGGGCTTTATGGACCAAGGCTACGAAGAGACCTCAGTTTATTTGAAGGTAAATGAGCCAGCTTTTAGTGCAATGATCTTAGTTTATTGATTTTTCTTTTTCTTAAAGGTACTTTAAAGTATATATTGAATTCTATAAGGAAATCTTCAATTTTTATTTTTTTTAATGTTTATTTCGTCGTATTCTTGTCAATACTCTGTCTAGGCAAAAAACTAGGCAAACTTGTACCTGGATTTTGTTCCTATGCAGAGAAATTTTTGGGTTAGTTAAGCTTTCCTGAGAAGCTCTCATGAGAAAGATTTACTTTTCTGGAATACTACCTCTCCTACATCACTTTTTGGGCAGCTTTTAGAAAGAGAAGGCAAGCTATTCAGTTTGCTAGTAATATTAATTGGCAAAAGGAACGTAAAGAATGCTAGTTTGGTTTTCTTGTAGTGGTCCAGAAAATTTAAGCATCTTATTTTATATACATGTAAAATATATAAATTAAACGTTTTGTTTGTATAAGTATATACATCAAAAAGTATATCTGTATTTAAGTGTATATATGTATTAAAAATAAATATTTTCCATTACCCTTATAAGACATCCTTAGTCCAAATGCTTTTATTTTGCTGAATTTTTTTCTAGGCTTTAAAAACTACTGTTTCTGTTATCGAACCTTCAAAATGTTCCATTTTGTTTCTTTACAGTTTATTATCTGATGGTGTAATTTGTAAAGCTATACTTCTATACTGCTAGTATGTGAGCCATAGTGTCATATACTGTTTATGTTTGCATGGAGTAAGTTTGGAATGATTACTTTAACTTGGCTGTGGTTTTGTCCTCTTCATATTGTGCAAGTTCCTTGGCCTGGATCGTATGCATAACACAATATTTTCAAGGAAAAGGGGGAGAACTTGAAATACTACTTTACTGATGTTTTAAGAATATTTTTTTGCCACTTACAAAGCTAAGCATGTCATTAGTCAGACTTAAAAACATTTAGGAAATGTGTAAATTTGGGTTAAAGCTTATTTTTGTGAGTAATATTCCCATCTGCTGTGATAAACAAGCATATTACTGCTTTGGAAAGGCAACAGGGCACTGTTGTAATAGTGTACAGCATTTTTTTTTTTTCTTTCTGTTTGTAATTCCAGTGTGTTGCTGTGTATTGGGCTTTACACTGATTAGTGATTACAGTTTTATTATTCTTTTGCATCAAAGGGTTTACATTCTGAAAGAAAATTCAGGGTTCGGTTTTTGTGTGTGTGTGTAAGAAGGCAGAAAGTACTGAGCTAATGACCAGAATATAAGGGTTACCATTAAATGAGCCTGAGAGTACAGAGTAAGGTGCTATATTGCTGTTTTAGAATTCTTGCATGTATATATATGAGCTATCTTAAGTGAAAAGTTTTAGCCTCATGCTGTTGAAGATTTCCCGTAACCTATGTAAGATCCTATTGCTTGCAGAACATTTTTGATATTTGATGACTTCATCCTGCAAATTCAGTTCATGTTTGTTTAAAATCATGAAGTTTTCAAACAAATTTCAATTTGCAAAAATGTCTGTCGGTAATATGCCTGGGCTGTTTCCATGTTTGACACATCTGTAAAATTGATTTATTTCTTCTGGAGCAACTGTAGAAGAAATGAGTGTTAGGCTGGGATAGTCACCTTACTGTTTTTAGTTCATTTTTATAGATATAGTATCTATAACTTCAGTAATCCTATTTAATATTGCCATGTTCTGTACGAACACAGTAGAGGTAGACCTTATAGCATAGGATGGATGCAAGGCTGGTTCTAATTTGAGGTGTGAATTTTCACTTGGCAGATTACAAAACTGAGATACAAAATACGAAATTTGCTGTAGTTAACAAAAATAGGGTTGGAATCAGAAGCTGAGTTTTTAGACTCTTATCAGCATGCCTAAATACATCTTGCAAGGTGTTAATTTTTTTTTCATCAGAACCACTGAATCAGTACTATTAACATGCAGCATTATGCCTCGTTAACAAGACTTTGTTTCCTTGAACAAACCTCAAGAAATTATATGGCTTTATCCAGAAACCTGTGAGAATTGACTGAAATACGTGCCACAGCCACAATAGCGTTCTTTCTCTTACACTGTTGGTTTTATGTGTTGTTTTGTAACACAGAAAAAAAATATTAATGTGCATAAAATGTAGCATAAATGTATTGATATATTTCCACTGTAGCTTTGTCTTGAAATATTTGATCTATAGATTATTGTATTGTATTCTCTCAAAGTTGCTTGAGAGAATGATGAATTGTTGGGTTTTTTTGCTCTTCAGAGAAAATATCTTGTAAACTTTCTGAGAAACCAAACTAGTTAAACTGAACTAGCAGATAGCTAGCTGAGGATGGCAAGACTTTAATTTTTTTTTTGTTGCCATTTTAAAATTCTTTTGATGTGTATGTGGGACTTACCTTGGGCCTGCTTAAATGATTCTTGTCACTCCCGTTGTTCAGGGGTTCTTTTTCCTGATGGCTTTCATAGCAAAGCTTCTGGTTGCAAAGGCATCAAGTTTTATATCTTGGCATCTGACCTTGGTCTTGCTCTGAATGAGTTTGAGACTTCTTTTGTCACTGAATCATTAGGGCTTTCTAATCCTTTGCTTATACCCGTTTTCAGCTAAGTAGATTCACATGTAAATTGCTATTCTTTGCATTCTACTTTTGGATAGTTAACTAAACTGTAGAAAGATTTTCTTCTAATCAACTGGTGTATGTGTGTATTTTCTTTTTTGTGATTACATGCTGGGGTTCTGATCTCTTCTGGACAGAAGAGAAAGTATCCTGTGTGGGAAAAGCAGGTCTCTCATCATTTGTTCTCTGCCAGGAAAAAAACTCTTTATACTGAATTAAAAGTTTATTTGACGGTGTTTTATTTTTCTGTTAAGTTGTTCTGGAATATTTATTCAGATATAGAAAGTAATGGGATGAAGAATTATATTAGAAGTGTGAACGTCTAATATCAATTGAGTATTTAAGAAATTAAAATTATGAAGGAATGATAAACACCTCAAATGTTTTAATGTACTTACTAAGAAGCTGTAGTGACATATGAAAAGGAAGGGGATGATTTGTTCAGAAATATGACAAATAGCTTGAAAGTTTATTAGGACATTATAATAATGCAGAAGATACTGGAAAGTAAGGGTTGGATTTCTTAAGCTATCATGTGAAATAATTGTTTAATATACATATTTTGACAGGTAAACATGGAATCTATTCAGTGCTGCAGATGTCTATGTTAGTGTAATTCAGCATGACTCCTTGTGAAAGATGGTTTAGGAAACAAAGATTTGTATGGCTTAAATAAAAAAGGTGGTAATTTTTGTCAAAGTTCACCGTTTTATTTTTTTAAAACACAGAAATAGCTTTAACAGCTTTGTACTAAATGACTTTGGTTTCAAGTAATGCTTAGTACTAAAATGCTCTTTGCACAGTCTTAACTTTTTCTCACGGACTGGCTAGTGTTGTAGGTTGTCAGCAAATCTTTCACCAGCTGACCCCAAGCAAGGTGAAATTGGGAGGGGAGACGATCATGATCCTAAACTAAATGAAGCTAAGAGAAAGCTTGTTCTTCTTAAAGTGCCATCTGTACCTCTGTTCTTTCTGAGAGTGTGGTTGTCTGTCTGTAGTTAAAAACTAATACTGATCTAGGTACGTTTCCTGTGATGGTGACCTGACTGTTGGATGCCTGGCATTTGAGATATCTGATATATAGCTGCTATCTTGGGGCAGTTTTGCTTAGCTCACTACCATACTTAATGTGTTATGTTGTACATGCTTTATACTTCTGTGAATAAATTTAGTTATGTAGGGCTGATGTTTTTCAAGGTTTGCTTTTTTGGCAACACGCAAGGATTGCTCTCTAGTTCGAATTTTAACAGCATAACTTTGGTATTTTAAGGCAGAAGAATTTCTCTGAAAATACAGAACCTGTCTTGGCATTGTGTGCAGAATCTCATCATTCAGAAAATACTGTGATTGCAAGGAAAATTATGAAGACATGAACTTGTTATGAAAGGATATTGTAGGGTTGGTTTAATCTGTGGATATCTTAAAGGAATAGCTCTAATAGGCTGGGACAGCTAGATCAATTCAGCAAAATAACTCATTATCTTTTGTTACTATCAGTCAAGAAGAAACTGTGTCAAGAAAAAACACTGTATCTGGTTTTGATCATCAGCTGTCCAACCTGTCGAAGCTGCTAGTTAGCATCCCTGGAAGCATAAAACACATTGTTAATATATAATTCTGTTAATAAATTAAGAATTTTAGAGATGAGCAAGCTAGATTTAAATAATAATACATTTACTTGGGTTAGATTTGCACTTAAAATGAAACTGAAAAAATGAGGTTCTTATTTCTGATGGTGCCTCTATGATAGTATATTTAAGAAAGAGTAAAAGCCTCAGGAGTTGGGAGGGAGGATGGGAGGAGTGGAAAGTAACCCTGCAGACAGCAAGATCAGAGAAGGAAGAGGGGAGAGGAGGTGTGCTGAGCACCAGAGCAGACATTCCCCTGCAGCCCATGGAGAGGACCGTGGTGAAGTAGATAGAACCTGCAGCCTGTGAAGGACCATGCTGGAACAGAGATCCTCACTGCAGCCCATGGAGAACCCCATGCTGGAGCAGATGGAGATACCCTGGGGGAAGCTACAGCCTCTGGAGAATCCATGCTGGAGCAGGCTCCTGGCAGGAATTAGAGCCTGTAGTGAGGAGCCCCTGCAGGGGCAGGCTTTCTGGCAGTAACTGTCAGCCTGTGGAAAGGTCTCTTCCTGAAGAACTGTGCCCCGTGGAAAAGACACATGGTAGAGCCATTTCTGACAAGCTGCAGCTGTGGGAAGGACCCACAGTGGAGCAGTTCATGAAGACCTGTAGCCTGTGGGAATGACTCCATGCTGGAGCAGGAGAAAAATGTGAGGAGAAAGGAGTATCAGAAAGGAATTGTTAGGAACTGAGGACAGCCCCTGCTTCCCATCCTACTTGTGCTGTTTGGGGTGGGGGAGAATGTAGAAGTGCCACAACTGAAGAATCATGGAATCATAGAATGGCCTAAGCTGGAAGGGACCTCAGAGATCATTTTAATCCGGCCGCCAGGGACACCACCTCTCGACTAGATCTGGCAACACGTGGGGACCGAACGGGAATCGGACCCATGACCTTAGCATTATTAGCACTGTGCTCAACTGACTGAGCTAACCGGCCCCCTAAGAAGTAAAGTTGAAGCCTGGGAAGAAGGGGTGGTAAGGTGGCTTTAGGTTTTGCCTTCCTCATTATGCAAATCTGTTTTTACTGGCAATAAATGGAATTAATTTTCCCCAAGTTGAGACTTGCTTAGCTGTTACAGTAATTGAGAATTGATCACCCTGTTTTTATCTGCACCCAAAAGTCTTTCCATCTTATTTTCTCCCACTGTCCTGTTCACTGTGAGAGCAACTGAGTGGGGCTTGGCAGCCAGCCAAGCCCAACCCACCACAGTGTGTTATTGAAAGCAGTTAATCTCAAGAACCTTCCTCACAGAACCATGATTGTAATTTAGCAGTACAGAGAAAAGAAGGCAACATATTTGGTAACTAGTAAGAGGAGTGGGAAGTTGTTTAGGTTGTAAGTTCAAGAATTGGAAATGAATGGGATGGAGAGGACCTTGGTTAATGAGGTTTGTATTCACTGGCCAAAATGCTGCAGCCGTGATACTCATGCACTGCTGAGATACTGTAGGAAACGTACTGTCTGCAGTTAGGAAGTTTGGTGTAGAAGTAAAATGTCTGATCTTGAGTTTGTGGTCACCTGTATTGAGGAAACATGCATTCAAGTGAGAATCATAGAATGGCCTAGGCTGGAAGGAACCTTAGAGATCATTTTAATCCAGCCTCCCTGCCGCCAGGGATGCCACCTGTCAACTAGATCAGGCAACACATGGCGAGGGACCAAACAGAAATCTAACCCGTGACTTTGGCATTGTTAGCGCCCTGCTCAACTGACTGAGCTAACCAGCCCCCTGAACGGTGTGGAGGAGATGGAGTTGAATCTCATGAGAGAAAACCAGGTGGGCTAGATTAGCCTAGCAAAAAGTGTAGAGTGTAGAGAGGGCATAGTAGTATTCTCTGTAAATACATCAAGGTGCTAAATACTTGAACAGTTGTTTTTCATGGGTTTAAGAGTAATGTTGCCATAAAATCAAACTGGAATAACTTGCCATGAGTAAATATAAACAAGAAATCAGTAGGTTAACTATTAACATAGTTGGTTAGGGAAAAACTTTAAAGCCATTGGTGGTTCAGGAAGAGAAGAGTAGGTCATGGAAAACTAACTTTGGAAATTAATAAATTGTTTAAAGAAAATAGATGAAGTGTCTCCATTCAGTAGGAGAAGACTGGATACAGGTGATCTATTTAAGTCCTGTATTCCCTCAAGGCCAAAGTACATCTTCTGATAAAATGTATGAAATTACTTTGCAGTTCTTTAAGTAAATCCAGTACTGCAAAGTGAGTACAGGATTTTGGTTTACTAATAGTTACAGTATCAAATCAATTAAAACATTGAAAGTACAACATGCGTAGCTCAGACAGTGAGGAATCCATATCCTAGTTCCTAGTTTAGTTTACTACAAGTTTGTGCAATTTTGTTAAAAGGAATGATGACTGGGATTCAGAGATTTATTTACGCTATTCGGATGCCTGCAGTAATTGTGACAGGTACTCAGCTGAATGGCAAGAGTTTACTTTTCCTTTTAAGAAAGGTGCCCTCTGCTATTTTAGAGTTGAGCTATATGAACCAGACATGACTCTGGAAATATCTGAAGAATTGAATACTTCTGGCTGTGTTGTACCAATAAATGAATATTAAATTATGATGAGATTAAGATTAAGAACATTGTAGGATGTGTATTTTGTTCTCAAAATAAATTTTACTTGTTTAAAACATCTAGTTTTTCTTTTTTTTTTTTTTTTTAAGACTGTGAGCCAGAAGAGCTAACTGACTGGTCTATGGATGAGAAATGTTCCTTTTGTAATTTACACAAAGAAACAGTCAGTGTAAGTATGAACATGACATCAAGCATGATTTCCCCATCACCCAATTCTTGATATGAAAGTGAGAATCATCAACTTTCCAAACAACTCTAATACTCCATTTTTACTTAAGATAGTTTGACTATGAGAGGGAATGAAGTGGTTTGTCTTCTTACTAAATAGTTTTTCAGTGGTTTTTTTTCACTCAGTAGCTCAATAATTTCATTGTATATCCAGTAGAATAACTTCTGAAACATGTTATAATTTTCATGTCTTCTAGGATCGCGCATCAGTTATCGGTTCTTCACAGTCAACGCCTACAGAGGAACTGTCATCTCAGGGCCAGTCCAACACTGATAAGATTGAATGCCAAGCAGAAAACTATCTAAATGCACTCTTTCGAAAGAAAGGTAATAAAATCATGTCTTAATATTATTATATGTGACACAAATATAGACGAATGAAAGGATTTAGGGTTGATTTTCATTCTTAAGTAGTTCTTATTTATCTACTCAATGCTCTTTCTGTTCTTTATTCTTTTAGTTTTCCTTAATATTTTTCTTTGCTGACTTGAATCTCCAAGTGAAGAAGTACTAGTCTTTCTACTTGCCAATGCTGTTAGTCCTGTTGCATTGTGTGTTATTCTTTTGAATGCCCGTTCATGATACTTTATTGCTGGTTTTGTTGTTTGTTGGTTTTTTGTGTGTTTTTTTTTTTTACCATGAGCAGCTACTTTGATTTCATGCCAGCTTCACGTGCCATTCTGTGGAATTTTAAGCATCAAAACATTTTCTGTCTTTAAACTTTCCGTTCTAGTTTTCAGCAGG